CTCTATAGTTTGGCACTTGACAAATTAAGCTAAATCAGAAAATCTGGATGGTTTGGCCTTGATAGTTGCTCTCACAAATAGAATGCTGTAAGGGATCTGGGTAACAGATTGTCAGAGTGAGTTTATGAATCTGAAGATCCTTCAAAATAAGGATAAAAAAGAAAAGCCAAAAAATACACCATCTTGGTACCAACCTACTAATTGTATAACAATATGTTGAATTTGCAGATTACAATCATAAAGAAGAGGTAATGAGTTAGGTATGCACTATTGTATATGGTATAGTACACAGTACTGCATAACTACTATGAAAAAGCATTTAGAAATGTTTACAACGGAGTAGAGCTTTCTATAAGCCCTAAATGTGAACTTCCCCATACAGCTTCTGATAAACTGTTGTTGACAAACAATCCTTGTAATACCAGTCTTAGGTCTGCTACTGCTCCAGTGGGCACTCATTTAACTAGTTTCACAGCTAAAATATCTACAGTATCTATAAAATATTGAAATTAAGATGGTGTTAATCCAAACTAAGTAAACTTTTTTGTTAGTGATTGAGCATGATGGTGTTTTTAAAGTTTCTACAAATATAACATTCAGGGCACGTGGGTGGCTCAGTGGGTTAAGCCTCTGCCTTAGGCTCAGGTCATGATCTCAGGGTCCTGGGATCGAGTCCCACATCGGACTCTCTGCTCAGCAGGGGGCCTGCTTCCCTCTCTTGTCTGCCTCTGCCTACTTGTGATCTCTCTCTCTCTCTCTGTCAAATAAATAAATAAAATCTTAAAAAAATATATATATATATATATATAACATTCAAATGGATAAGCGGTGCTCTGACCCATGTTTTCGTGTCAGTTTCATAAGGTCCAACTTAATAATATCCTATCTGATAGAGTAGAAAGTTCAATCTTTTGTCTAACACGTTTGGTCAAAAGTTGTCTTTGTTACTGATAGTTTAGAAAATTGTTTGCTAACAGATCTGCTCTATAAAAAAATAGTAAAGGGAATATTCTAGGCTGAATGAAAGGATAGCAGATAGTTACTTGAACGCATGAGTTAATAAAAACCACAGGTAAATGCAACTACATAGTAAATATGAAAGACAATATATGTTTTATATTTGTAATTTTTTTCACTTATCTGACTTAAACAAATGAACTAAATATTTTTTATTTATTTCTTTGTTATAATAATTTTAATTCTTTTTTTTTTAAGATTTTATTTATTTCACAGAGAGAGATCGATCACAAGTAGGCAGAGAGGTGGGTAGAGAGAGAGGAGGAAGCAGGCTCCCCGCTGAGCAGAGAGCCCGATGCGGGGCAGATCCCAGGACCCTGAGATCATGACCTGAGCCAAAGGCAGAGGCTTAACCTACTAAGCCACGCAGGCACCCCAATACATTTTAATTTCTTTGCTGTAATGACTTTTTAATTTCTTGCATTAAGTCACAATTTTAGAAGTGTTTATGGATATACGATGCATAGATATGTAACTTGTAACAGCACAAAGGAAGAAGGAAGAAATGGAGCTACCCAGTAGCAAAGTATTTATAAAATATGGAAATTAAGATGGTATTAATCCAAATTAGATTATTTTAAATTAAGATATTAATTGTGATCCTCAGAGCAACCATTAGGAAAATAACTCAAGGTCTCCTGGGTGGCTCAGTCAGTTAAGTGCCTGCCTTCAGCTCAGGTCATGATCTCAGGATCCTAGGATCAAGTCCTGAGTCCCACATCAGGTTCCCTGCTCCTATGCATGGAACCTGCTGAACCTGCTTTTCCTGTTCCCTCTGCTACTCCCCCTTGGTGGGGTGGGGGACGGTGGGGGGGGGGGCGCGAGGCAGCGGCACGACTCTTTTTTTTAAAAAGTGAAAGTAATGACCAGGAATAAAAATGGTACACTAGGAGCACCTGGGTGGCTCAGTTGATTAACTCTTGCCTCTTGATTTCTGTTCCGGTCATGATCTCAGTGTTGTGAGATCAAGCCCATGTCTGGTGGGGCTCTGTGCTGGGTGCGCAGTCTGCTTAAGATTCTCTCTCCCTCTCCTTCTGCGCACCCCCCAAATGGTACATTAGAAAATATTTAACACAAAAGAAGAGAGTAAAGAAGGAATAGAGAAAGAAAAAAGATATAAGATGTCTATATAAAAAGCAAAATGACAGTCATAAACCCTATCTTATCAGTAATTCATTAACTGTAAGTGGACTAAACAGTCCAAACAAAAGGCAGAGATTGGCAGAATGGAATAAAAACACAGGATTCAACTATAGGCTATCTACGACAGGCACACTTTACCAAGTCACAGACTGATAACAAAACAATAGAAAAAGATATGCCATGCAAACAGTAACCAAAAGAGAGCTGATGCGGCTGTACTTGTATCAGACAAAATATACTTTGAGACAACTGTTACTAGAAACGAGGGACATTTTTGTTTTCCATTGTGCTAAAAGATGGCATAAAAGTTACCATTTCTAATTGTATAGTTCAGTAGTGTTAAGTTCCAGTCACACTGTTGTACAACATCTCCAGAACTTCCATCATGCAAAACTGAAACTCTATCCCCATTAAACAACAACTCCCCTTCTCCCCTTTTACCTCAGTCCTGGGTAACCATCATTCCTGTTTCTATGAATTTGACTGCTTTAGATACCTCATGTAAGTGAAATCACAATATTCTCCTTTTTGTGACTAGTTCATTTCACTTAGCATGTCCCCCCTGTTTATCCATGTAGTAGCATGACAGGATTTCCTTCCTTTTTAAGGCTGAACAATATTTCCTCGTCTGCATATACCACATTTTGTTGATGTATGCATCTGTCAACGCACATCTGGGTTGGCCCCATCTCTTAGCTATTATGAGTAGTGCCGTTATGAACATAGGACTGCAAATATCTCTTCAATACTCTGCTTTCAATTCTTCTGGAGATCTACCCAGAAGTGGAATTGTTGGATCATATATATGGCAGTTCCTTTTTTTTAAGATTTATTTTGAGAGAAAGAAGAGTGAGCACAGTGGGGGTAGGGCCAGAAGGACAAGGAGAGAAAGAATCTCAAGCAGACTCTACACCAAACCAAGAGCTCAACCTGGAGCATGGCCTGTGCTGAAATCAGGAGTTGGATGCTTAACTAACTGTACCACCCAGGTGCCCCAATCATATAGCAGCTCTATTTTTGATTTTTTGAGGAACCTTCATACTGTTTTTCACAGTGCAACCATTTTACAATCACATTAACAGTGCAGAATTTTTCTACAACCTCAACAACACTTGTTATTTTGTTTTTTACTGTTACCATCCTAATGGATGTGAGGTGACAAAGGACACTTTATAAAGATAAATGAATCAATCCATCAATAAGGTAAAATTATAAATTTGAAAGTGCCCAACAGTGCACGAAGCCCTAAAGTATATGAAGCAAAACTGAGAAGTAAAGGGAGAAATACACAATTCAACAGTAATCATTGGAAAATTCAATACCCATTTTCAATACTGGATAGAACAATTAGGCAGAAGACCAACAAGGACAAGAGACTTAATGCTAAAAATCAACCAGAATTATTACAAAACATCACGAAAACACTCAATCCAACTATAGCAGAATATACATTCTTCTCAAGTGCACATGGAACATTCTTCAAGATAGACCGTATGGTCAGCAATAAAACAAGCCTCAATCAATTAAAAAGACTGAATCAGAGAAGTATGTTCTCTGAGCCGAAAAGAATGAAAACAGGAATCAGTAATGACAACAAAGCGGTAAATCTTCTTGACCTTGACTGGATTAGCCAACGGCCTAGCTATGATACCAAAAGCATGAGCAATAAAAGACAAAACAGATAAACTGGACTTCATCAAAATTAATAACTCTGTGCTTCAAGACACCATCAAGACAGTGAAGACAACCACAGAGTGGGAGAAAGTACTTCCAAACCGTATTGGGTAAGGGACTTGTATCTAGAATATATAAAGGACTCTTACTACTCAACAACAAAAAATCCATTTTTTAAAAGGGCAAAAGATATGAAATTTCTCCAAATTACACCTAGAAATTGCCATTAAGCACAAGCAAAGATGCTTAATATCATTAGCCGCCATGGAATGTAAGTCAAAACCACAATGAGGTATCATTTCATGCTCACTAGGAAGGCTAGAATCAAAGACACAGACGATGCCAGTTGTTTGCAGGATGTGGAAAAACTGAACTATTCTAGGCCCTGCCCCTGGCGGCAAGTAAAATGTGCAGCCGCTATGCCCAACAGCCCCACAGCTCCACCAAAGGTTAAGCCCAGTCACTGCATGAACCTAACAGTCCCTCTCGTGGGTATTACGCATGAGAACCAAACACATGAATCCACAGAAAAGCTCATACACAAATCATCCCAGCAGCATTATCCATAACAGCAAAAAGCAGAAACCCAAATGTCCATCGAATGATGAACAGATAAAGCGTGGTATATCCACTCAACAAGAACCAGAACCACTGAGCCACGCCACGGTATAAAAGCTGGAAATGTTATGCAGAGGAGCAGAAGCCAGTCACAGAAGACCACATACTGTATGATTACATGAAATATACAGACAAGGCTGGTCTAGAGAGTCATCAAGTAGATCAGTGGCCACCCAGGGCTGAGGGACGTGGGAGCAAATGGGGAGTGACTGCTAAGAGGCACGGCTTGCTTTCTGGGGCAGTGAAAATGTTCTAAAATCAATTGTGATGACAGCTGCATACATGTAAATACAAGTCAGGAAGCTGCACACTTAAATGGGTGAATTACACCTCCACAGAGCTCTTCCACTAATGAGGAGAAACAATGCCAGCACAGTAGTACTCTTCTGTAAGTCTTCCCTAGTGTAAAAGTGCTGGGGGAACAAGCGGCCATGTCTTTTCCCTTCCACTGAAGTAGTAACAGACAACGGGGTACTTAAGGACTTACCTGTGACTCTCAAACTTCCAAAGAATTAAAAAATAAATAAATTATAGTAACAAAACTCTCTCAACTACTGTGTTGGGATAAGAGAGGCCAATATTTATTCTTAAGATTTTACCAAAGAAGAGCCAAATTTTAACTCATCTGACACAGATCATGAAGACTTAAAAGTGTTCTAGCATGATCTATTTCTCACTTTTTAATTTTACAGGTTAATCCATATAGCCGTTTGCTACAAGTATGTACATATAAATAAATACATGTTAGAAAAAAACCCTGTTTTAGAAGACTTAATGTGTGACATTGTGTTTTGGTTTGAGATTTTTACCATGTACAGATGAATCTTCATCAGCAAACAGACAAGGTTCTATTTCTTTCAAGGAACTTCTACCTTCAAGTCGGGCAAGAAGCTAGCAAAAGAAAAAAAAGAAAAACTCATTACCCAAAAATATAAAATCTTAGACATCTACATTTACACCATTTTCCAAAGGTCTATAAAAAAGACCCATTTAATTTTGAGGATTTGGAGGAAATCATGAAATAGGAAATAAAAGTTAGGAGGAAAATTGTGTTCGTTCATTCAGAAAACACTTCTTATTTCTTTACATCTCAAATACTGATGGTATAAAATGAGCCCCAGGAAGACTCTGGACACCAAGTTCAGGGGAGCTTCTGCAGTTAGCAGACCGTCACACATTGTTGCTCGGAGAACTGAGCACCCTCCATAATTCCACCAGGAGAGGACAACTGGAAGGTCTGCATTTGGAATTCTCCTGGACTTTGACACCTCCTCCTGTGCCTGTCTTTAAGAGTGCATCCTTTCCCTGCAGTAAACCATAACCATGAACACAACCACTTTCAATGAGTTCTGTGAGTCCTTCTACGGAATTGCTATACCTCAAGGTGTCCCCGGGGTCCCCAGGCCCCCCAACTTCCAAACAATATCAGAGCTGAGTGTAGTCTTAGGGATCCGGAACTTGGTAAAGTCTCCTCCCGGGATGTCCCCAATTTCACACACAGATGAAGGACTTCTGCTCCAAAATTAAATACAATCTTTTTTTTCCCCCTCTCGGAAAAGCACTTGTGCTGATAATTTGAATTGGATGCTTTTTTCATAGACTACCCTTTATTTTGAAAGAACAACTAAAAGAAACTTTGATCATACAAACTCTGGTATTTGGCAGACATTTTATTAAAATGAAGAAAGTAAGCTTGTCACTTCAAGAAAATTGACAGTATTTGTTGCCAATGATAACATCTGAATTCTAGAAAACTCACCCACCACTGTGACCTTGATAGCTTCCCGATACTTAAGATCCTTTATGGGGAAGACACCAATGTTTTAATGAATGTGATTTTTAAAAATAATTATTTAACAAACACGTCAATTCTTGAAAGATCTGTGTAATTCAGTGAACCAGTATTTCCAAATGACCAATGCATGTTAGATCAGTCCTGGGTAAAAGATTCACTCCAAGTGTAAGACCAATCAATCAATGGTTTTAACATATAAAAAAAAAAAATCACTGATATAATTCTATATTCTACATTGCAATTAACTTTTAGGAAACTAATATCTTGTCCCATTTTGGTACAGAATCAAAGAAGTAAACCCACAATTATCTAAAAAGACCTTCAAATACTACTTTTTCCAACTATACATTGGAAGTACTTTATGTTGTTCTGGTTGAAGTACAACAACAGTAAGAGAGTCTTAACATACTTCAACCAGAACAAAATAAAGTCATAGACTGGATGCAGAAGAGATGAGACCCCAGTCAAATTCTATTCAACTGGACATTAAAAAAGAGATGTGCAAATATGTAAAAGAGTGTCACTCCTCATATTTTTTGTTTAGGGAAATATAGTTATTTTTCATTAAAATATGTATAATATTCAAAGAGTTTATAACTATCACTTGTATATGAATGCAAATATTTAAAATTCTAAATTTCTCACCGCAGCTCTCTCCAAAGCCCACCTGCTCTGGAGATCTCTCGAGAGTATATATTTGATTTAATAAACTTTCTCGCTTCTGCTATTCAATAAATAGTCAGATAAATTTCTCAGTTTCACTGACAGATAAAACCCACATAAACAAAAGCTCTTTTGGTGACAAATATTAACTGCACTTATTGTGATCATTTTGCAACATAAACAAATATCAAACCATTATGATGTACACCTCAATCTAATATAACGTTGTAACTACTATTCTACCAAAAAAACAAAACAAAACAAAACAAAAAAATGCACAAAAGCTCTTTGAAATCCTCAATAATTTTTACATGTGTAATGCATTCCTGAAGCCAAAAATTGAGAACCACTGAGTTAGAAGATGGGAGAGTCCAGCTTGAAAGACAAGACAGAAACTTTCATGAACAAGATGAAACACATAAAATGACTTCAAAATGTTTTAAAAAGGGCGCCTGGATGGTTCGGTTGTTAGGTGGCTGCCTTGGGCTCAGGTTGTGATCCAGGGTCCTGGGATCAAGGCCCACATCAGGCTCCCTGCTCCGTGAGGAAGCCTGCTTCTCCCTCTCCTGCTCTCCTGCTCCCCCTGCCTGTGTTCCCTCTCTCTCCCTGTGTCTCTGTCAAATAAATAAATAAAACCTTTAAAAAAAAAATGTTTTAAGAAGCATGTATACAAATAACTATTCTCATCAGAATGACTAACTTAGGAAATTACTCCGATTGTTTACTCTTATTTTCACTCCTCAAAATATTTTAGAATTCTCCACTGTGAGAATTCCTGGTAGGAAAGGATTCAAGAAAGCTTTATATTGGCAGGATACTTGGACAGAGATGGTATAACTCCTCTTTCCAACTGGCTAAGTTAGCCAGTTTGCATCTAATTTTCCACTATTATTAAAAAATCAAATTTATTTTCAAGGATGAAAACTTCCCACTAATATTCAAAATGTTTACAATGCCAAAGCAGAGTCTGTTTCTTTCAAATAAATAAATAAACTTAAAAAAAAAAAAAAAAAGGAAAATACCCTAAAAACCTGACATAAACTATTCCAGAAATTAAAATTAATGATGTCCAGATTTAAGGAATGAATTAAAAGAAGCCAGGTATAATCAACCTGGAGTTTCTAAAGGACAAAAAAGAGTCCAAAGTGTCCATGGTAAAAGGAACACCAGTAAGTTCTGTTAGACAAGACAGTTTAATCCTTTCAGGGAGATTAACACACTGGGCAATCACAGCTTGGTGATGGATTTCTCTTGATTCTCTCTGCAATCTTTCTGAGGCCAAATTTCCTATTTAGAAAAGAAGGCAAAGTGGACACAACAATTTTAGTCTATTTGGCAATTTCACTAATATTGTTAATTAACAGATTTGACATCTGGTTTGTAAATCAGTATCTTCTAGGTTTTATTATTTTAACAAAGTCATCAACTAATAGCTACTATTTGCGCTTACTGTGTATCTGCAGTACCTAATTTATATACATTATCTCTTTTAATTGTTACAGTAACTATTTGTTATCATTCTCTTTTTCAGATGATTAACTAGTAGATGCCAGAGCCAAGGCTTAAGAGATCTCTTCTGGCTCCCAAAGCCTGGAGTCCGCTGGGCTCCAGTGCCTCAGAGTCAGTATGACGGAGTCTAATAAAATCTGAGTACAGAGATAAAATAGTTTCTGGATCTACTAAGCTGATCCGAGATCCTGTCTAGGCAATTACCTGACCTCTTTCAACCATCTCTGTTAATACTCCCCCCAACAGCAACAAGGAGCCCTCAATGTTTTCAACGGCAACATTATTACCATAACAATACAACCTACAAAACGGGTAATCCTCACTGCACAGCCAGCCACTGGTAACCATCTCAGCCAACGTGGGGATACACAGATGTAGCAGACATAGTTCCTATCTTCACAAAATTTAACAGGGGAGAGTCAAAAGTTTACAAAAATGCAACACAGTACAGTGGATGCTACAGAAGAAACACAGGCAGGGTGCTTGGAAGGTGAGGGAACCTAACGCCATCTGGGACAAATCTCCCCCGAGGCCCAATCAGGGACCTGGGACCTCCTGGAGCACAGCACCCCTCCCAACATTCTTTCTTTTTGTTTAACCACACCCTTAAGTATACCCTTAGGGCATAACACCCTTGACCTGCCCCAGAGCCCGGACTCCCGACACACAGCCATTAGACATTCTCCTCTAGGGTGGTCACAACAGCACTCCCAACCTCCAGGGCTAGAAAAGCCTGTCTCAAGGGTGGTGGAGTTGAGAAGATTCATTCAGCAAGTCCCCTTCTCACAGCAGGCTGCCCTTGCCAGCCTTTCTCTTCAGTCTTATAGTCAGTTCTAATTTGTGGGAGGCACACTTAATTTTGAACAAGAGATTAAGCATTTAGTTCTTTTTTTTTTTAACATATATTTATTTATTTGACAGCAGGAGGGATTACAATTAGGAATAGAGGCAGACAGAGAGAGGGGGAAAGCAGGCTCCCCACTGGGCAGGAAGCCCGATATGGGGCTCGATCCCAGGACGCTGAGATCATGACCTGAGCTGAAGGCAGAGGCTTAACCCTCTGAGCCACCCAGGTGCCCCAAGCATTTAGTTCTTTTAAATACATACAAAATGTGCACTGATAGAGAAATGTTTTTCTTCCTACATGGAATGTCCTTTGCCTATTCTCTTTTAAATTTCTAAGGCCAAGACTATTAAACAAATGATGATAATAACATACATTCTTCAAGGCCGCCTCCTTCCATGAAGCTATTACTACTGTACTTAACACATTACCAGCCCATCTCCCTCATCTGGATGTAAAAGCTCAAAAGGAAAAGCACCTATTTTGGCTCACAATGGACTCCAAAATGCTTTTGTCTGGCAGAAACTCAGTAGCTGCCTATTAAATTAAAAGGTAAACAGGGCATAGGTAGGCAGGCTTGGGAAGGATGGAGTGTAAATGACCTCAAACTATTTCCATTTTCATGTTTAGACAGTATGCAAACTTATACCAAACAAAAGTCCATGAGTATTCATGTCCTCGAAGTTCTTTATACTAACAAAAGTCCATTTCCAATGCCATTATATACCTTCGTCACCTAGTAAGCAGAATACCTACCATTCAGTTGTGGAAAAGCTTACACAAGAGCAGAAAGAAGAATACAAAGATCAAACTAATTAGAAATTAATGGCATTAATTCTGTCTGCCTGTGCTTGCTCTCTCTCCCTCTCTCTCTGACAAATAAATAAATAAAATCTTAAAAAAAAAAAAAAAGAAATTAATGGCATTAAGGTAAATACACACACACACACACACACACAGCTCATTTAGATAAAGGCTCATTTCCCCTGATCTTCTGTAAATAAATTTGTCTGCAGATAGACCCCAGTAGTAGGGTTGCAAACCGGTTCAGTATAAAAGGCTACCTAAGGGGCATCGGGT